CAAATGCTTCTCTGCAATTGGCTCCACCAGCTGAGGACAAAGGCTACCTGAATGGCATATCATGTCCAAAGCATCACAGTCTTTGGGTTAAGGTTCTCAGTGGGCATGAGTGCTGCGGGTTGGAAATCAGCAGCTGAGGGAAGGAGAGCGGACTCAATGCCTCTCAGCAACTCTCATTTCCCAGGGCGATCCACCTGGTGGTGGGGCTGCCATCAGGCTGGGAGATTCCAAGTCCAGGTCATACCCACTGGTTGCTAAGTACCCAAAGTTTGCCCAAGGGGGAGTTGGAGGAGTATGAAGCCAGATCCACTGAAACATGGATGTGTGACATCTGGAGAAGAAGGGCTGGACAAGCTAAATCCAGAAAGTTCCCTGACCCCACCGGGCTCTGGATCACAGGCTATCTCAGATCCAGTGATGACCGTTCTGGAGGGGTAAAGGAAGCTAGCCCCTCCGTCTGAATTCTCCAGTGATGTCTGTAGGCTCCCAGGAGACACACCCTGGCCCCTACCCAACAAGCTTAGCCCTCTCCTCTTCTCAGTCACAGAGCCAGCTTTGTCAACACCGGCTCTCCCTGGCCGTTCATAAGGACCACCACTTCCGGGGCCTGTTTGATCTCTCCACTCCAGTGCTCCTGTGGGGCGGCCTCTTCACTCAAGAACTCTGGAACAATCTGAGCCACTACAAAGTCCCCTATGGGTGGCAGGGGCTCTCCCGTGAAGGTAACCTGCTACCCGCTCCTTCTCTCTGCCCTCTGCCTCCTGCCCCAGTTGGCCCATTCTTCCCACCGTTGGCCCTGCTGCCTTCACAGCATCTACGGAGAGCCTCGTGGGGTCTTCTCTGTGTGACTCCTGCTTTTCTCTCTCCTTCATCCAGTCACGCAGGGCTAAGCTGAGATGCCCTTGCTCAGCGACTCTCACTACCATGGGGTCTCCTTGGCATGGAAAATGCCCAGTGTTTAATGGCGGTCTGAGAGCAGAGGTTTAGGGGCCTTCACGGCACCATCATGGATACTTATTGCCCACACCACCAACCACACTCAGACACACCCCAAGGAACTTTTTGTGGCGTGGGCCTTCGGATGCACAGACTGTTCAAAGGATGGATAGATTGTGTTAAGATCTCGGTCACCTGCTGTGTGTGGTAGCTCACACCTTTAATTCCAGTACTCGTTAGGCAGAGGCAGATGGATCTCTGTGAGTTTCAGGATATCAAGGGCTACATAGAGAGACCCTGTCTTGGATTCTTCTTCTCTTTCTTCTTCGTCTTCGTCTTCGTCTTCATCTTCATCTTCGTCTTCTCCTCCTTTTTCTTCCTCTTCCTCTTCTTCCGTCTTCTTCATCTTCTTCTTCTTCTTGTTTCTTCTTCTCTTCTTCCTCCTCCCTCCTCATCCTCATCCTCCTCTTCTTCCTCTTCCTCTTCTTGCTTCTTCTCCTCCTCTTCCTCTTCCCTCCTCCTCCTCCTCCTCCTCCTCTTCTTCTTCTTCTTCTTCTTCTTCTTCTTCTTCATGTATATAGTCTTAGAGAACTAGATATTCAGGCCCCCCCAGACCCCCCCATCCTTCTCTCCACCCCCTCCACACCCACTGTCTCCTATTCTACCCCCATCCTCTGTACTTCCTGGGTCTCCATAACATAGGTCTCAAGCCAGACCATCTGGGGAAAGCATGACCACATTCGCTGCTCATGGCTCCCCCTTGTCTTTACCCACAGCTATCATGTCTACCCTAAACCTTCTCGAGAACCCCGAGAGCGCTGAGCTGTTCGGTCCCTCCAAACCACTAGGCTGTATTCGGTGTGCCGTGGTGGGTAACGGAGGCATTCTGAACGGATCCCGTCAGGGTCAGAAAATCGATGCCCATGACTATGTGTTCAGGTAATGAGGGCAGGGGTCAGGCAGTTGGGTGAAAAGCTCTTATTTTGCTAGTCCTGAGGGAACATCTACTCCGAGGCCAAAGCCAAGGCAGTTGCCAGCCTAAGGCAGCTCAGCAGTTAGGATCAACAGTTCTCAATCTGTGAGTCATGGTCACATGGCGGGGGGGGGTGTCAAATGACCCTTTCACAGGGGTCACCTAACACCATTGGTAAAACATATATATTTACATTATGATTCATAACAGTAGCAAAATTACGGTGATGAAGTAGTTACATCATTACATTTATCAAAAATAATGTTTATGGTTAGGTGTGACCTAACCATACATGAGGAACTGTATTAAAGGGTCACAGCATTAGGAAGGTTGAGAACCACTGGTTTAGACCAAGGATCAACCAACCCTGAAGACAGAGCACAGGTGCCTGGTGTGACAGGTGCCCGGTGTGAAGGAACCTGGGAGGAAGGGTCCCCAGGGCCAGCTTTACCCATGCAGAGAGCATCCCTTGAGGACCCTAGAAGTGAGGATAGGCTGGACCCCCAAAGCAGGTATTCTCATGAGCAGGAGTGGTACAAGTAAGAGGGATGGGCATGGGTGAGGCAGTGCCATGGGCATGGAAGTAAACCAGACAACATGGAGTAGCCGCAAAGATGCTGATGGCCTTCTGCTGGGGCCAGACTCAACGGAGCGGTCATCAAAGGCTTCGAGCGCGACGTGGGCACCAAAACCTCCTTCTACGGCTTTACCGTGAACACCATGAAGAATTCCCTCATCTCCTACTCCAGGCTGGGTTTCACCTCCGTGCCACAAGGGCAGGTGAGGCCAGCAATGGGTGAGCCATGGTGGCTGGCAGTGGGCATTGTCTTCTTAGGGACTCGTGTGGGCTGGGGCCTGGGATGCACAGACTCCCTGTCCCATGGATGGAGAGATGGTGTTAAGGTCTTGGTCTCCTGCTGGGTGTGGTGGTGCACACCTTTAATCCCAGCACTCCCTAGACAGAGGCAGGCAGATCTCTGTGAGTTCCTGGATAGCCAGGGCTTTCAGAGAGAGACCCTGTCTCAAACAACAAAGCAAAAAGATCTCGGCCCCATGAGGCAGACATCAGAGCTAAATAAAGGCAGGACCTGCTGGAGGTTTCCCCATTCTCCCCAGAGGCTCGGGGCTGCATCTCGAGCATGGAAGGGGAAGAACTAATATTTCCTGAATGCAGATGGATGCCTGGTGAACCCCACTTCACTGGGGAAGAGTCTGAAGTCCAGAGCCCTTCCAGGCAGCAAGCCAGCAGAAGGCCCAAGGTTCAAACCTAGACTGCCCACCCCAGAGTTCTCTTATCTTTGCACAGTGTAACGGCATTTATTGGGTACGTCCTGTGTCCCCAGAGTGTCACGGTTGCTCTGTGTGGGATCATCGTATCTGTCTTCAGATGGCAGAGTTAAGTGATACTGAAGGTTGCCAGGCATGGCGGTGCACACATGCAGTCCCGGCACCTGGGGGGCAAGGACAGGCAGATCTGTCCTTTTTTTTTTTTTTGTGATTTTTGAGGTCAGTCTGGTCTACATAGCGAGCTCCAGGTCAGCCAGGTCTATACAGTGAACCTTTGTCTCTAGCAGGGGAAACTGCTGAGAGGTTAGGGAATGTGTCCAAAAGCATTGGGCTAGAACTGCCCAGATCCAGAACCCCCTTGGAGATTTCCATTTCCCCACACTGCCGACCATAGAATGAGGTGTGTGACCTCCTGGACTCTCATCAGAACTCTGTGTAGGAAGCGGAAGTTCAAAGAGACCCGTGACCTGTCCCAGCCAGTGTCCAAGCCGGCCTTGGAGCCCTCTCCCTGGCTCTTCCCTCCACACTTACTTGCTGTAATGCCATGCTTTCTGCCTCGAGCTCTCTGGGTGCCACGTGCAAGGTGAGAGAGAGCTCGGGTAAGGGGCGCTATGGGCCTAGAAGGGGATGGGCCATGTTCCTCCAAGCTTCTGCCTCTGATGGGGACATTCAGGAGTGTCCTGGGCATATTGTCTACCACTGAGTCCCCACCACAGAACTGTTCTATCAGTTGGTGAGAGAACATAATGTGGCCATTGGACTTTTGTAGGGTCTGTCCCACACACCCTTAAGTAATCTCATCAAGCCAGTGTTTCAGGAATTTGGGAGTGGCTTAGCAAGCAGTTCCAGCCCAGGTTCTATCCGGCTGTGGACTGCTTCCATCTGAAGGCAGGAGTAGGGCTGGAGTCAAGACGAACATATTGCAGGTTTATCTTTCCTGGGCCCTTCTGAAGATCCATCCCCCAAGAGCCCTCATGACATGATCACTAACTTCCCCCAGATTGAGCAATCCAGAGAGAGCAAGAAAGCAAGGCCCCTTTTATGACCATCTTCAAGATCTTATGTGTATGTGGCCAGTACCTATGTCTGTGGGCCATGCACATGCTTGGTGCTCACAGAGGCCAGAAGAGGGTGTTGGGTTCCCTGGAGCTGGAGTTGTGGATGGTTATAAACCACCATGTGGATGCTGAGAACCGAACCCAGGTTTTCTGGAAGAAGAACAAGTGCTCTTAACTGCTGAGTCATCTCTCTAGCTCTCTATTTTCTAGTTTTAGAGTCTGGCAGGAGGGTCAGGAGGGTCAAGAGAAAAAGGATCAGGACTTCCTTGACTGCATAGGGATTTTGAGATCCTGTCTCCAAAAGAACAAAACACAGAGAAGAGGCTACATAATAGTCACAAAGTCTAGCCAGTCTTCAAGGGAACGGCAACCTTGCTTTACCTCTTATGGGGAAGGACATCAAAGGTTCTGTGAACCGACAATAAAACCATCCAGGTACCTCGGAGTGGGAATACAGCCTAGCAAGGAAATGCTCACAAGCTTGGGTAGCAAGGTGAGGCAGAGGACTGTTTTTCTCTGGAGCTGAAGGTGGCCTTGTCTGGTACCCCGGCAGGACCTGCGCTACGTCTTCATTCCCTCAAGCATCCGTGAATACCTGATGCTGAGATCTGCCATTCTGGGTGTGCCTGTCCCAGAGGGCCCCGATAAAGGGGACAGGTGAGCAACTGACTGTGTGTGTGGGCCTGTCGCATAGGGTGAGAGGACCGTGAGCATCCCCCCCCCCCCGCCCTGTTCGCAGGATCCATGATTTTGGAGAGAGAAGCTGGCTGATGGCTCTTTAGCCCTGGCTGTGCTAAGAGAAGCTGTGCAAAGAGAAAAATCTCTCTACAATATTCAATATCTCTAGTTATTCAGCATAACTTATCATTGAGGGTTGTGCTCTGGCTGACAGTGGGTGCCCTCTCCTGAGGACCCTCGGGTGGGGCAGGCCACAAGGCTCACAGAACTCTGTCCAGTGGATGGAGAGGTATTGCTTGGCCACCTGAAGTGTTGGCATTAAAGCTGAAGGCAGATTTGGCAGGGCTCACATTCTTTCAGATGATCCAGGGCCCAGGTAGCCCTACCGGCTTCCCTGCTGGGTCAGAGGTGGTCTAAGGGTGAACAGGCCTGGCCCCTCAGCTCTGGGCTGCTGTCCTGCTGGAGGACAGACAGGCAGCAGGGGCAAGAGGCTTCTCCTCAGCTGGCAGCTGGCCCACTGAGCACACTGCTCTGGAAAGGAAGAGCAGGTAGGCATCCTCCCCGAACACTAGATCCCCAGGCTTGGTCCAGAGAGGTAGGAACAGAGAGTGCCGTGTCCTCTCAGCACCTTCCTGATGATCCATGTCTGAGCCGTGGCTTGAATCTGCTCACTTGAACCAGGTTCAATGTCTTGTGCCTGAGAACCTATGCCACTACTGTGGCCAGGTGACCAAACCCTTCTCATGTCTCTTGGAACATGTGACCCACTTTCTCAATGAGCAGCTTTCTTTATGGGTTTAGTGGAAACCAGCAGCCTGGAGAGATGGATCAGTGGCTGCTCTTCCGAAGGTCCTGAGTTCAATTCCCAGCAACCACAAGATGGCTCACAACCATATATAATGAGGCCTAGTGCCCTCTTCTGGCCTGCAGCCAACACTGTATATATAATAAATACATCTTTAAAAAAAAAATGATAGCAACCAGGCCAGCCCCTGCTGGGTGCCCCACCCCCACCCTATGATTACGTAACAATTGCTCCCTATAGGTCATGAGAACTGAGGATGGTTCTGTGACGCGTTGGGAATGGGCTTTGGGGAGAACCGCCTCAGAGTCCCCGGGTGGACTTAAGCCTCCATAACACCAATGAGCTCCCCCTCCCATACCCCTAATCCATCCCCAACCCAATCCCCGTCCCAGTCCCGGTCTAACCACGCCCACGCTGATAATTTAACCAACCAGCAGCAGCCCCCTCCTAGCTCTGGAGGCTCAGCCCCTTCCCCTTCCCCCACCCGGGGGACTTCCTCCCGCCCAACCTCCCATAACCCCACCCCAGCTGCTTCTCAGCCATCCTCCCGGGCTTCCTCCCAGTCACCTAGTCCTCACGTCCAGCATGTGTCCCGAGGGTCTACTCAAGCCCCTACCCCTCCAGCCTCCAAATCTCCCTCCCAGACTGGATTGAAAGCTCTCTCTCGAAACCCTTCCCTGACGCCCGCGGTGCCCGTGAACAGGTCCCCTGCGGCCTCGGCCTCCTACATCGGGCCCATCCGCAACATCCCTTCCTACATTGCCCCCTATGTGCCTCGTTTCATGAAAGAGACCCCCTATTTCCAGCCCCCTACAGCACCTCTTCCGCAAAATCGGTGCTTTCCCTGTCCCTTTCCGTGCCAGGCCCAGGAATCCAGGCCGCCACCACCACCACCACCCGACTCTCTCTACCTCCCCCTCCTCCCCCCACCCCCTCACCTCCCCCAAGTGAACTGCACCTACCCTACACCTCCGGCCCTGTTCACACCCCCATCCTCCCTCTCCTACACTCCACCAACCGAAGTCCTGCTGAAGGGGAAGCCACACGTGGTACCTTCGGTGCTACCGGCTACCTTCTACACCCCCTTCTCCCGCTTCTACTCCCAGCCCCGGCCCTACCGCTACCACCGGCGCTTAACCCTTCCCTCACTCTCCCTTCAATACGATGGTTCTGGACGCTCTGTCCACTTCTATCGTGGGACCTAGGCCTCGCACCTATTTTGGACCAGAAACCTCTGCCAGTAAATTCAAGCTCCTGCATCCAGACTTCATCCGCTACCTGACAGAGAGGTAAGGGGGATAGGGTGGGAGATGGGAGGACCAACTTTTTCCTTCTCACCCCTATCTCATATATTTATAGTGCCTTCAGCGGGGCCTCATTCACTATGCACTGGGACTGCACACCCGTACTGAGTGCCATGTGCCCATCGCGGCACTAGGTGTGTCTGTGATTTCTTTTATTTACTACCGTGTAGGAGGCGCTGTTAGTAGATAGGGTCGGCAGGAAAAAAACAAGAAACAGGAAGTTGAGTCCCACGTTCACAAAGTCAGAAGATACTGGGTGCTAAAAGTCTAGTGCCATCGCTTTTGACTCCAAACCCAGCCTGCCAAAGTCGGTGATTCGGGAGAACCAAGGGAACAGACAACACTTCTCTCCCTCCCCCCCCACCCCATGCCTCCGTGCCATGCCTCCCTTCCTCTCGGTATTGGGGGAGGTTAGGTCGGACTTTGGTTCAGTCAGGACATAGTTTGGGTTGTCGTGGAGGGCATGACATGAGTAAGGAGAAGCCAGGGATCTGCCGACCATCCTTCAGGGCAGAGGCCCAGTGCTAGCCACCCTACGGTTGAGAAACCGTAGAGCACAAAGGCCACCATCTCCACAGAAAGTGGTTGAAGCAGTGGGTGGGAAGCCAGCGGAAGCCCTCTGAGCTTCAGTGACCTGCCCGGTCAAGTTCTCAACAGGAACAGGTCTGAGGGCAGCACCTGTGGGTACTTTCACACCAGTGAACCCAGAGCTGGGATCTCAGTGAGCTCCCTGCTCATCCATGGTTCCTACTGGCTCAGTTGTGTGGGGGGAAAGAAACTTGGGTCTCAGGTTAAATAAAGAGGCCATCTGTATAGGCTCAAAATTTGAAGCTATCAGGGGAGAAGACAATAGTTGTAGAGTGGGAGAAAAGGGAGGCTCTCGCCCCTATAAGGTGTTAACTTCATCCTGAGACCCTCACTGTTGGAGTAGAAGGACCAGTTTCTGACTGTCTCCAGCCTGTCTGAGTGGGTAACCTGAAGTCTAATGTAGCTGTGGTATTCTCATTCAACACCTGAGTATCTTTCTCAAGCTTTTGGGGTTTGTTTTTGTAAATCTTTGTGGGGAGGGCTGGGCAGGGCAAGAAACATGCAAGCAGGAACACGTGGAGGCTTTCTCTACTTGTCTGTTTCTTGACATTTGCCAGGCTCGCTGACCTCTGAGTTTCCCTGCCTCCCATCTCACCATAGGACAGCTGGGATTGCAGATAGGCAGGCGTTCCTGTGTCCAGCCTCACATGGGTGCTGGGGACCCAGATTAGTATCTGAAGTTAGTGTGACAAGGGCTTTACTCTCAACACTCTCGCTAGCCCCTTCTCGGATCTTAACGCTTCCGACGTCCTTCCAGGTTTCTGAAGTCCAAGCTGATGAACACACGTTACAGAGACATGTATATGCCATCCACGGGAGCACTCATGCTGCTGACAGCCTTGCACACCTGTGACCAGGTAGGTGGTCTTCTCCAGGAGCTCTGGCAGCGCAGCATGACTGTCCACTCACTGTGGCCCACTAGTTCTTCCCAAGGCTGGCCACTCTGAAGTGGAGCTCAGCAGCAGATAGGACTCCCCAGGGGCAGGGGAACCCGCTTCCTCCTGTCATCCCGGAGAGTCTGGTCTGGGCCAGCCTTGCCTCTCTCACATCCTCCTGCCCCCCTTCCCTCTTTTTACTCGACCCGGTATTTAGGGTGCAGTGGGCCAAACAGCTCTTCTGAAAGCAGAATCTGGCTTGGGAAATCATTTAATGGGGATATCCTAGAGCTGGCAATGGACAGCAGGCTCAGCCTTGCACCTGTAGAACCCCTGAAACCCTGTGGTAAAAGGTTCGTTCCTGGTGGAGTGCCGCTTGACGTGTAAGGAGGCAGAGAGAGGTTGAGTGACAGTTCTCAAATGGCTATGGATGCAGATGAAGCAAGCATGAGGCCCGACGTTCAATCCTTGGTACCTTAAAAAACAAAAGCAGTTTTACCTATTCTAGTGCAGGTGTCCCGACTGCAGTCACTGTAGATTCTCTCCATCCTTGAACTTAAGGATCACAATGTCTGAGTCACACCTAAGTTCCAGACCCGTCTCTGCCACTCACTGAACGGCACACTTATAATTACCACTTAGCCCTTTGTTCGATGGGGTTAAGACTTGTGAGAATGTGTGTACGCTGAGCTGTTTGTCTGCTCGCTCATCTCGAGGGGACCTGCTTGGGGACAGGCCTACTCTAGTTCCAGTTGCTTCGCTGGGCCCTGCAGCTCCCTACAGCTCCCTGCGTGCTCACTGTGACTGTCCTTCGCCAGGTTAGTGCCTACGGATTCATCACAAGCAACTACCAGCAATACTCAGACCACTATTTCGAGCGAGAAAAGCAACCAGTGATATTCTACGCAAACCATGATCTGACCCTAGAAGCTGCCCTGTGGAGGAGTCTACACAACGCTGGCATCCTTCGGCTGTACCAGCGCTGACCCCGAAGTACCCATTTCTTTGCTTCAAAAGCACTTTTTCTTGACCTTTCAACTTTTGGAAGAGGCATCAGTCCCCTTTGACCCTCTGCTTCCCCAGAGGGTACTGAGACAAGACTCTCTACTTGACCCTTGACCCTCTACTTCCCCAGAGGGTACTGAGACAAGACTCTCTACTTGACCCTTGACCCTCTACTTCCCCAGAGGGTACTGAGACAAGACTCGTGGCCACATCACCAGAGCCTGTTCAATGCACGACACGGTCTTGACTTGAGCCAACTCTTCTGGGCTTAGCCAGGGGAGGGCAGACTGCTTTGCAGAGTTTACACCCCCCCAAAATGAGACAGTGATCCTCACCAGCAAAGACCCTGATAGTTTAAAGCTAGCACCTGATCCTGAGCAACTAGGAACATTAAAGAAGCCATTCAGGGCTATCTGGAAACCAGTATCAAGCAGAGACCCACCCCTAGCTGAAACCAATGGCACGCCAAATTCCAAAGCCATTCAACCTGTGAGGACATCTTAAGCTTTCTGAGAACATGACATTTTTGCCTTGTGATAGAACCACAGGCAGAATGTAATTTGAGGCTAGCTAATAGGGTAAGTGACGGATGACCACTGTCTCTTCCTGTGTGTCGGTTTGGAGGGAGTGGTGAGGTGCACTCAGGACTAGGACTACCTCGCAGGCACAAACAAGCACATCCTGCACCAGTGTACGGGAGGTACTGACTCCTGGCCAACTACACAAGTTGTCACTACCGAAGTCCTACTGGAGATGTATCACCATCACTCCTTGTCACCAACAGGATACTACTGAGTGACGGACCCTCATCCTCGCACCACAGCTTCAATAAACACCAACTGTGGCAGTTTCTGTTTCCTGAGCTTTCGAGAGCCATTTCCAGTCTCACACAACCAAGATAGCGCAGGACCCCCAGAAATGTATGCGGTTGAGGGTGGGGAGTGGGTATCCAGGGATTGCTGGCCAGACACCCTGAGGCTGAGGACTGACATTTGGCTCTAGAGTTTGGGAAAACTGACGGGATAAACTAATGAGCTAACAACTTTAAGAACCCCACAAGGGCTGGGAGTGGTAGTGTGCAACTCCATTCCCAGCAGAGGCAGATGTCTGGAACTGGGGAGGCTGAGACAGGTGGTTTTTAGGCCAGCCTGGGTTTTAGCCTCTTGCTGCCCTGAGAGGATAAACAGACTCAGGAGTCCTGCAAACCACAGTTCTGTCATTCAGACTCCCTCAGTCCCAAGATCTCACAGCTGACTGTACTACCTAAACCCCACTGCCCTGGCAACCCACATTTCCCTGGCACCCTTTGATCCACGGCGCAGACACAGTAGCAGGACGTTTATCAATGAACCAAATAATTTCTTTAAAGACCCATTTTTATGTGAATGGGTGTTTGCATGCATGCTGGCCTGTGCACCACCTGCATGCTTGGTACCCAGGTATTTGGGTATCTGCATGCATGGGTACCATGATGACCAGAAAAGGGTACAGGATTCCTTGGGACTAGGGTTGCAGATGGTTTCAGCCCCCATGTGGGTACTGGAATTGAACCCAGGTGTTCTGGAACAGTTTGTGCTCTTAAAGTCATCCCTCTAACCCATCATCACTGGATTAAGTGTTAGGTAATGTTAGGTGGCAACCTATGATTTAGGTACAAAGTCAATTTTAACAGGTCAATAGAAAATGTCTGGATGTCTGCGGTTCAAGTGTTATTCTAGAACACTCCGTATTGTCTAAGCCCCGATCTCATATCCACAATGCTAGTGAATTAAATTTTATAGTTTATTTGTGCTTCAAATTAGAAAGTTCAACACTGACTTCTCAGGAAATCCACTGTGAGAAATGCCGACCTCCCCCGCTAAGTGCCTCCAATATTCGCTAGCTGCCAGAGGCTTCCAGGGTAACTGCAGTCACTTGACTCTGCTGGCTGCTTTTGCAGATCAAACTCCAAGGCCCTTTGATGACACTCTCTCTGGGGGACTGAAGGCCAGCAGCAGCAGGACACTCCAGGGCAATAACCTGAAAACGAAATAAAATGTGAAGGAAACTGAAGAGTCTGGGAACAAGCACATCAGCCTGTGCACACAGGCGGGCACTGCCTAAGTTCCAATGCAGAATGATCAACTAGTTTGTTTCAGGAGACAGGAGAAATTTCTGGTAATGGTCAAAAACCCATGAAGCATCAGGAATATTTACACTCAACTCACTCCCTCTGGACGTGACCTTTGAATTCACCCAGGAGCAAAGCCAAGCAGGCCTGCTTCCCTGTAGGCTGTGGGTGCTAGGGCTCAGTAAATCTCACCCAAATGCAAATACTTTAGGTGATGAAACATAAAAAGCCTGTACACACCTCCCAGTTCCCAATCTGAGGGCACTTCAAACTGGCCACAGAAACAGGAATTACTGAGGTGGAGTTGGCCCAGCCCCACACCCCAGTGCCACTTGTTTCTCGTTACCCTGGTGCCCATCAGCAACCCGACATTCAGACGGGACCTAATCTGTACTGAGGCTGCCAGGGTCACGGCACCTTCTTTCCTAAATGTCAGGGCTGCAGCAGAGGCAAGGACAGAGTCATTAAGCATTCTAAAGTCACAAGCTGGCACAAGTCTTACATTCCCGTCTCCTTCAAAAGAGCATTCATTTTCTAGAAGTATGTGACAAGGACCCACAATGAGCACAGAACGAGCCCTGGCAGCATGCCCACTTCTGCTAACTCGGGGGCTCTGCCCTCAGAGCCATCACTCAACGGAGAGGATTACAGGGCAAGCAGGCAGGTTTCTGGAAGGCTGGCACACTACACCAGCTCCCAGCAGGGCACACACGGCTCTTTTGGCATCCACTCGATCCCTTATAAAGCTCGAATTTCTTCAGGCAGAGAGCCACACCCCTGAGCCTCAGAATAGAGTATTTTCCCTCAGCTGAAGTTTTCAGACAGGGATAACCAACCATCCATCATAGGCTTATGGGCTTTTTTTTGGGGGGGAACACAAACAAATGGAAACATAAAATCACAAGAAAGGGCTAGACATGGCGGCGCATGCCTTTAACCCGAACACCTGGAAGGCAGAAGCAGTGAGTTTGAGGTCAATCAGGTCTACTTAACGAGTGCTAGGCCAGCTGGGACTATACAGTAAGACTATCTCAGATTAGGGGGGGGAGGGGCTAGAGACGAAGCTTCATTAGTCACAAGGGAGCTGTCTCACCCTGCACAACATGGAGAAGAAAGAAAACCACACTCAGAAAATCTCCCTCGTCAGAGTAGGGCATCAAAGGCACTGACACACCACCCCATATCCTGATCCAGGCTCAAGTTCGGGTGCAGATGGTTACCTGTGTGGCGGCCACAGCATCCTGCATCCTTCTCCCGTGACTCAGCCTGCACCTGGTGATAAGGAAACACATGGTAACTCTAAAGCAACTCACTGTAAAACCATCCCAGAGCCTGCCTGTCGCCTGGGAAGCTGAGCTTCAGATAACCACATTCCACACAGAAAGGCCTCTTGACCTTCAGTCAGGGATAACTTACATCATCATGGACTCAGCTCCCACACAACTGCCAGCCTCTGAGCATGAGAACCCTTTAGAAAGGTTTTTTAAAAAAAGATATTTTTATGTGTGTTTTGCCTACATATATGTGTGTACCATGTGTGTGCCTGTAGAGACCAGAAGAGGGCATGGGATTCCCTAGAAGTGGAGTTACATGCAGTTGGCTGCTCGAAGTGGGTGCTGGGAATGAACCCAGGTCCTCTTTAACCAACTAACCACTGAGCCATCTCCCTGGCCACTCCTGTCCTCCTAAAGACAGGGTCACTAACACATTAAGGAAGCAAAGGCAGAAGTGTGAGTTGGAACCCAACCTGTGCTACACAGCAAATTCAAGGCCAACTCAGGCTACGTGGTAAGACCTTCGGGTGGAAAGGTCACTCCCAGCAGCAGGGGTCGGATGGCTGAGCCAGAATCTCTCGCGTGTCCTATCATCGGAATACCCAAAATGGTTAGGTCACCCACTGGAAACAACCATCACAAAGACTACCAAGAAATGACATCATAATTTCTCCTCCCCCATCCACATGTACAACAGCAAGCAAGTGGTTTTCAGTTTTGTTAAGACTAAAATTAGAAATCTAGCCCAAGAGCCTTTTAAAAACAGCCAGCACTCTAACCTTGCTGTAAGAGAAGGCCTCAGCTCAAATAGACCAGAATCATTTGAACCGTTTCTGTACGCCTGCTCAGACCTCCCACAAGGCGGACTCTAGAATCATTTGCATCCGCTGGCAGAAGTGGAGCCAGGAAACACGTCTTAGGTTCTGAGATACAGCCAAGCTTAGAAACAACCACTTCTGCATCACAAGACACAAGGCTCTGCGCCACCACCAGTTGGCAGGTCAAAATCTTTCATCTAAAATGCAGTTTTGGCTCAGTGTGTAAAGGAAAGAACACACTTCATCCTGACTGACAAGCACATGCCACGGCATACGCATATACAGAAGTACACACAGGACTCAATCTTCAAAGGTGTGATCCCCTGCCCAGAAAAACCTATATAAAGTGCAGTTTCTAGGGGTTTTAACCTGAGCTCCACTGACATGTTGTGTATATAACTCCTTATAGTGGCCATCCTGTGCCTTGAAGGACAGTCATCCAAGCATCAGTTAGATGGCCCCTGAAAGCCAATAGCTGCTTGCACTATCTTGAGCAGAATCCCCACTACGTGGCAGTGGAGCGAACAGTTTCGTATTTGCACACTTTTTACCTCTTATCTAACAGACCAATGCTTCCAGGCAACCACCCCTGCGATTGTATGAAGAAGCTGCTAGCTCGCATAGCATCCTCACAAAGGTCCTTATGTGTCACACCAGATGATGTCTCCAGAAGCCAACTCCAACCTGAAAGGATAATTAAGATAACAGACTTCATTTTAACAGACACAACCGTAAGGTGTTCTCAAATTAGGCGTTAAAAGGTTGAGCCTCAGTAAACCATGACTCTTCATAAGACATGTCATCTCAGACAGGGATAACTTTAATTCATCCTCAGCTCAACCAGTAACAAACTCCTAAATCCCAGGCAACCCAGACTCACGGTTCAAGTCTCTTCCCTTCATCCCTGTCCATCCTGTCTCCCATGTTAGACCGCAGGTGACACTCGGTGGTCCCGAGTTACACTGGCAGAGCCTCCCTTCTGGACTTTGGGTAGAAACTTACCGAAATGGACTCATGGCTCGACACGCGTTCTCACAGCTGAACTTCAGAAGCACGCCTGAAGCAGATGCCCATCATCTACCTCCACCTTCTCATTGGTGGCCACACCGATCCGTTTACGCTAAGGGATCCTGCCATTCTGAGACGGAGTTTGCAACCTTGCTTCCGAGCGTCGCAAAAGGTGCCAAAGGCGTGCCTTCGAGGAAGGAAAAAAATAAGCCAGAGGAAACTGTGGGTTTTCATTTTGCAGCCCCCTCAGTCACAATCTGCAGTCATTAAAGGATGTCAAGGCACTACGGGTAGGCAAACGTATTCACGCGTCAACGCTCAGGGATTAAAGGCCGCCACCCTCAATAGAAACCCCAGGGCCCGCAGGGTCGCATGCTCCGCGCATGGCTGGCCGTGAGGCACAGGGGGCAAGATGGAAAAACTCTCAAGAAATGCCAATTCAAAGCCTAAAATGGGCTTCGGCCCTATTTCACACAACATTTCTCGCAGTCTGGAAAGCACTTTTTAAAACACAGAATCTCAGACCATCTAAGACCTTAAATAGCAATGGTAAGGAAGGGCTTATCGCTGCCACTTCACCTCTGGAGGAGACATGCATGGCGACGGCATGTGGAGAAAAATCTCATTTTCCCGCTTCCACAGCTTACCAACACCCGAAGCCCTAGCCTTTTCAGTGAGTGCACGACAGACAGAAGCGGCCATAACTTCCACACACGCGGCGGCAGACCTCGGAAAGGTCGAGGTTGCGGCTGCGCGCAGTCTTCCCACCCCGGTCTCGCCGGAACTCTCGCGATGTTGAGAAAAGCCTGTTGGGAAATGTAGTTCTAAACCGACCGTGGCCGAGCGTCGGTCGTCTCTCCTGAGAGTGAAAAGAAGGGATAAGATGGTGGCCGCCACCAGGGGCAGCAGAGGTTCCTAGGGTAGGAAGTTTGGTCTGATGAGGAAACTCAGGCTCGTGGTCAATTGCTCTGGGGTGAAGAGACGTCGCTTGCCTTTGCCCAAGGAGAGGTCCCAGGGTCTCGTCGGCTGCTTTTTAGAGGGGGGGGGGGGGGGTGCGGGCGAGAGCGGGTGCAGGCAGCAGGGGGCGCTCGAGCTGTAGGGTCCCGCCTGCCTGGGACCCTGTCCGGACCGGAGTAGCAGGAAATCGTAAAAATTGAAGGGAGTAGCATGACATCGTGAAAACAGCTTCAGGCTGGCACCTCCAAAAGCCCAGGGAGTTGCCCCCATCCTTCCCGGACCTCAACTTCAGTGACAGCCGACCTCGTTCCGGCCGCGGTGCTGAAAAGAACTTCAGAACTAGCCAGCATACGTTGGAGAGAAAATAATTTTAATGGAGGTGTTTATCATGAGGGTTAGGAAAGAGAGAGGCGCCCAGGAGAATGGCATACCCCAGTGTGGGAATGGGCTCAAGTCAGCGCTGCAGTTAGCTGCTTAGTCTTTCTTAGCCACGTATACTATTTTGGTGGCTCTGAGTTACTCCTCAAATGGTTGCTAGGAGACCTCCCCATCCCCACTTTCTTGCTCTCTTGGTAAGTGACATAAGTGTGGGGGCTCCAGAGAGGCTTTGGATGGAGCTGTAGTTCAGAAGCCATTAGGGTCACAGGTTTAGTTTGTGTCTTCCATGTAAATGTGATGGTCTCTGGTGAGAGACCCAGAAAACTGTGGTTTCCTATCTGGGAGGGGAGAAAGGGCCTTAAGTGGTTGGTACCAGAATTGTTGCTTCTCTGTTAGCAAGAGACTCCAACCCAGATTCCAGAATGAGGGACCCTTTTCCTTCTCGTGTCCCCAGGCTTTTCTTGCCTTTCTATCCTGCCTGATTTGGGGTGTCATTATTTTGTTTTGTTTTGGGGGGCAGAGGTTGGTTTTGGTTTTGTTTTTCGAGACAGGCTTTCTCTGTGGCTGGAACTTGCTCTGTAGACCAGGCTGGCTTCAAACTCACAGAGACCCGCCTGTCTCCGCCTCCCGAGTGCTGGGATTAAAGGCATACGCCACCACCACATTTTTTTTTAAACAGGGCAAATGGAAAGACAAGGCCAGACTTTACACCTATTAGGAAATGAGTTTAAATTTACAAGAGCAGGAGCCTTGGATTCATAACTCTGATATATATTTTTAATTGATTTTTTTTATTGAGCTCTACATTTTTCTCTGCTCCCCTCCCTGCTTCTCCCCTACCCATCAACCCTCTCCCAAAGTCATGCTCCCAATTTACTCAGGAGATCTTGTCCCTTTCTACTTCCAATGTAGGTATTCATAACTCTTAATCATTCTGCTCAAATGGGACTCTGTAGCATTTAGCCTGTTCCATTTTTTTAATGTGGAAATCTGTTGCCGATACATATTCTTAATGACCATATTTGCTTATATGTATCTCCTTTAATTTGATTGTGAACGCTTCATGAGCAGGGGGATGTGTCTTAATATTTTCTTCTTAATTTCCTCACCATCCTGGATTTACTGTTTGGCAGTCTTCTCACAGAATGTTCCCAGGAAATAATCACTAATGTATTCAGCAAGAACACAGGCCATTGAATTTGTCTATCTCACCCTTGACGACATATCATTTTGTCTAATACTGAAAGGAAGAAAGCATTTTCTCCAGGCACACTACGTTCTTTCATTTGAGACTCACAGAGGGAATTCTGAAGAATTTGCCCAAAGCCACTTGTGAAACTTGTGGCCACGTGACATTCTGCAGACGAGATAATAATAATAGCTAATGCTTTCTGGTGGTTGCTGAGGTGGCTAGTCACTGTGTTGGGTCCTTCCATCCTCCCGGTCTATGAAACACCATTGTTGTCCCATTGGGCAGATGAGAAAATGCATACTGAGTGACCAGGTACTGTTTAAAGTCGCACTAGTGTCTGGCAGGCTTGGTGCGATCGCAGCCTGAGGAGGTTATGCTTTTATCACCAAGTTGCTCCTCCCCGTGAGTGAATTGATCTAATACGGAAGAATTTCCCTTTTATGGGGAAAGCAAAAACAGGAGGATTTTTTGTGTATTAATTTTTTTTTGTTTTTTGTTTGGTTGGTTTTGGTTTTTCGAGACAGGGTTTCTCTGAAGCTTTGGAGCCTGTCCTGGACTCTGTAGACCAGGCTGGCCTCTAACTCACAGAGATAGGCCTGCCTCTGCCTCCTGAGTGCCGGGATTTTAGTGTCTTTTAAAAAAAAAATCTCTGTGTGAGGATGTATACAGATGACATAGAGGTCAGAGGTCAGCTTTGGTTTTCAGACATCCTCCACCTTATTTTTTGAGTCCGAACCTCTCCCTAAACCTGGAGCTTGTGGATGTGCTAGGCTGGCTGGCCAGTGAACCCCAGGGACCACCCTGTCTCCGCTCCGCCGAGCTGGGATTACAGGCACAGACCACTGCAATCGGTTTACTCTTCCATTTTGTTGATTTATTTATTTTGGTGGAGGCGTGTTTTATCTGCATGTGTGTCTGTGTACCACGTGTATGCCTGTAGCACGAATTCTAATTGGTCTTAATAATAAGAACCTGGAGTCGGCTATCAGGGGTGAAAGCTGAAGGATCAGAGAAGCAGAGTGGTCACCAGTGCTCAGACGAAAGGGCAATCCTGTCTCCACAAAACCTCAGACTGCCTCTCAGACTGAATTCTCAGACTGCATCTGAGCTCCTGTCTCTTCCTGCCTTATATTCTTCTCTCAACCCAGCCATATCACTCCTGTCTCCACCTCCCCAGTGCTGGGATTAAAGCCATGTGACCCCAAGTGCTGGGATCACCTTTGTATGAGCTGCTTCTCTTTTAGATGGATTCAGTCTTGTGTAGCCCAGTGTGGCCTTGAACTCACAGAGGTCCATCTGCCTCTGTGTCCTGAGTGCTGGAATTAAAGGTGTGCGCCACCACTGCCTGGCCTCTGTGACTAACTAGTGGCTTAGCTCTGCACTCTAATCTTCAGGCAAGCTTTGGTTAGCTTACAAACACGTGCCTAGTGCCGACCGCGGCCAGAAGAGGACGTCAGATTACCCCTAGAACTGGAGTTACAGTTGTGAAGTGACCTTTGGTGTCTGAGACTAGAATCTGGGTCCTCTGGAAGAGCAATGCTCTTAACCACTGAGCCATTTCTCCAGCCCTGCACCTAGCTTCTTAGGTGAGTGCTGGAGGTCTGGCCTCATGTAGTGATATGGTGTCGTGCCCCCCCATCTCCCCCAGTCCGCCCCCCACCCCCGGTCTGTGCAGCTGCAAGTTTCCTGTCTTTACAGAGGTGGTTGGAGACTAATAAAAAATGTTGACCGAAGAAGGCACCTGCTTTGTCAATCTGAACCACATGGTGGCAGAGTGAGGATGAGCATCATCTGCCTCGAGGAGCCGCTCTCCGGAAGGCTGTAGGGCTTTGGGATCTAGCAGTGCTGTCTCGCACGAGGCTAATTGCCACACAGTGTACAGAGAGGCCACTCTTCCTAGCGCCTCGCTCTGCCTTAGGTCTCTGTGTGGGTTTTCCACCCGACAGGGCACAGTTTCTCCTGCACGGCCCCTTTGTACATGATGGAGCAGCCACAGGCACACAACCAATAGGGGTGCCACCAACAAGCTGGGCAGTGGTCAAGAGGCTGGAGCAGACTCCAAGGGGCCTTGTGCCTGAGCACACATGAGACGCAACTGTGTAGGCAGTCTAGGAATAACCGGAGACGCTCCAAAGACTGCACCAGAATTCCTGAATGAGCAGCCAGGACAGAGCTGCTCAGGATGAAGTGCTAATGTCCCTGTGATCTCATCTGCGCCCTGCTGCTGAGATCGCCTGCGCACAGTGGAGCCCTATAGTCATTCTACAAGACTAGCACAGACCGCTGTCACCATGGCACGAGTCAGAGGTGGGCAAGCTGACTATGGCCGCAGTGCCCTGAGAGACCCAACCTCAGAGCACACAGGGCCTGCCGTGCTGGGGCAGTCCGGGACAGAACTGAAGAAAGACGCAGTGTCTGAGACCCACAGTAAGAAAGCTGTCTTTACAGCGTTGAAGTTTCCTCCTTAATTCCAAAGGGAATCTTTGATTTTATTAATAAGAACATGAAAGGCGGGTTGGTGGCAACCTCCCAGCTGCTGGCTGCTCGCACTTGAAGCAGTGGTACCAGTGACTTCACAGGAAGTATGTCTGTATGCAGGCATGTTGGTGGCCGGCCTGGAAGCTGGCCGTCCTCCATCTAGCCAAGTTTGGGGGATTCTCCTTTAAAAGCAACAGCCTCTCTTCTGGCTCTGGGACATCGTAGAGACGCGATGCTTGGGCTGGCCACAGCCGTCTGGAATCTGTGTGGCTTCCTTCAAAGCAAGAGCCAAATGCCTCTGAAGACAGATTGGAAGGAAGAAAGGAGTCCTTGAGGCCGCTGGCAAGCTGCTGAGCTAGCCAGTCCTGAAGCCTTGGCTTCCGTCTCTTTGGCTTAGAAACACACTTGCACGTTTACTATTTCCATGTGTAGGATACACCTTAAAAGTTTCAGTGCAATACAGAGTGTGAGGTATAAGAAGCAAGCATCATGGTTTAAGTCATTTCCAGTTGGGGTTTGATAGTGACATTTTCCATCTCTTTATAAAGAATCCCCAGGGAGAAGCTGGGTGTTGGTGGCACACACTTAACTCCAGCCCTCAGGAGGCAGAGGCAGGTGGATCTCTGTGAATTTGAGGCTATCCAGAGCTATACAGTAAGATTCTATTTCAACAAACAAACAAGGAAACGCACACAGTTCAGCCACGCCTCCACCCGCCTTATCTGCAAAGCTGTTTCCGCTAATAAAACCGCTGCTCAGGAACAGACCTTTAAAAATAAACAAATCTGGAGAATATGCAATATTGTCTGGACCTCATCTGCTCTTTCCTGGACGTGTCTCCCCATTGCCGGAAATCCTGCCTTCTCCATGTTGCGTAAGCTTTTGCTTGCGGTGGTGCCGGTTCCCTCTGCTTAGTCTTCCCTTCCCCTCACCCTCTCAGCTGCTCTGCACTGCACACTCCTGGCTGCCATGCTGAGTCAGGCTCCAGGTTTTCCTTGTGACACCTGTACTGTGGCAGGTGGTTTAGCATGTGCTCTGATGTCAGACCAGCCTGGAGGCTTGAATTACTTAGGGCAGATTACTTCACTTACCTCTACCCTTGTCTCTTTTGTTTTGTTTTGTTTTGTTTTCCAAGACAGAATTTTACTACATAGTTCTGCTAGTGCTGGAACTCACTCTGTAGACCAGGCTGGCCTCCAACCCAGAGATCCACCTGCCTCTGCTTCCCGGAGGCTGGATCTGGTATAGGAGGTCCCTTCTCTTTGTGTGTTGCTTTCATTGGTTGAATAAAGAGACTACCTTGGCCTTTTGATAGGGCAGCCCTTAGGTGGGTGGAGTAGACAGAACAGAATGCTGGGAAGAAGGGAAGTGTGGCAGATGCCATGCTTCTCCTGCCCAAGATGGACGCTGGTTAGACTCATGCCAGTAAGCTACAGTCAAGTGGCGATACACATTAATGGAGATGGGTTAGACAAATATGTAAGAGTTAGTCAATAAGAGGTTAGAACTAATGGGCCAGGCAGTGTTTAAATGAATACAATTTGTGTGGGTATAAGCTGGCCGGGCAGCACCGTTCCTCCATACTATAGGGATCAAAGGTGCACACCACTGTACCGTCTCATAGCCCCATCTTTATGAGGGAGGGGGATGATCACTTGACTCTCACAGGATTGTTTTAAGACTGTGTATCCAAAGCACGAAGTGCGCCACAGATGGGAAATTTGGATGCTTATATTTACTTCTTGTCACATTCACAACCCCACTATTTAATATTTGTTTATGTGCATGTGTGTGTGCCTACTTGAGTTTACCCGTACCATGTGTGCAGATGCCTATGTAGGCCATAGAGGGTCAGATCTCCTGGAACTGGAGTTACAGATGGTAGTGAGCCGCCTGATGTGATGTGGGTGCTGGGAACCAAACCTGAGTCCTCTGCAAGAGCATCACATCCTCTTAGCTGCCGAACCACCTGCCCACCCCATTCCATTTTTATCCTCATTTTCTTCTTCCTCGTAATGGGCATTGGACCCAGGACTCAGCCATGTTAGACAACAGTCTGGCTTTGAGCTTGTAATCAGCTTTTCTGGTGTCTGGGATTAGAAGCCAGTGCCTCATTTGCTTATAGCTTGCTTTTTGGTGGACTATGATTAAATGATTTGTTTTTAGTTCATTCTTGTTTTTCTTTTACTCTGTAAGCCATCTTTACTGAGGTATAAAATATATTCAGAATGCACTGATAGATTCAGTATGCAAACACATGCATATAAGCATAATCCAAATCAAGATCCAAGACAGGTCCGCCACCCTGAGCCCCCACATGCCTTTTGTCCTTCCAGTCAGTTTCCATACCCAGCCCTGGCCAGAGTCAGCCACTGCTCAGCATTCCATCATTATCAATCAGTTTCGTCTCGTCCTAGCATTTCATAACTACGATCACAAACTAGATTCTCCCCGTGTCTGCAGTCTTAACTTTCCTGTGTTGCTTCTTATATAAATACCCCACTTCCTTCTTGTTTTCGAGTATTATTCCACCATTCAGACCTACCTCAGCTTCCCCACTGATAACTGTTGATAGATACCTGGGTTATTTTCAGTATGGGACTATCATTAGCAAAGCCTCTGTCAGGACTTCATTCTCCAATTACTTTCTAAGACACTACTACACTGATTTCCTGAGTGGTCACATTGCGGGGTTCCAGACACCCACATACTCACTTTGTAATAGCTACGTAGTGGCATCTCCCCATGCTGATGCTTTTGATCTTATTGGCCATATGCATTTTATTTATTTATTTATTTATTTATTTTTGTAGAGTGGTTATTAAAACCTCCCGACTTTTAAAATTTGAACCAGTTGTTGAGTTGTAGAAGTTTTGGTTTGGTTTGGTTTGGGTTGGGTTTGGGTTTTTTGAGACAGAGTTTCTCTGTGTAGCCCTAACTGTCCTGGCCCCAAGCTTAGAGATATGCCTGCCTCTGCCTCCCATGTACTGTTTGGTTTTGGTTTTTTGTAAAAGTTATTTTAAGAAATATTTTATTTCTCTTTGTGTATGTGGGGGTGGGTGTGTGCACGTTAGTTCAGTGTCCAGAGGCCAGCAGAGGAGTCTCAGGCAGTTGCGAGCTCCCACGTGGGTGCTGGGAATCGAACTGCTCTCTGGAAGGGTGCCTGGCACTGCTGAACCAGCTCTGTAGCCCCTGGGCTGTAAAAGTCCTTCGTTCTATTTTTTAAATTAATTTATCTCTTTCATATGTGTGCACCACGTGCATGTGAGAACCTTCCAAGTGCAGAAGAGAGCATCAGATTCCATGCAACTGGTGTTCCATAGTGTTGCGAGCCACCACGAGGGTGCTGGGACCAAACCCTGGTCCTCTACAGAGAAGCATGTTCTCTTCACCTCGGAGCCAAATCTGTCCAGATACAAGTCTCACTTAGACTTTCATTTGTTTTTGAGACAGGGTTTCACTATTTAGCCCTGACTGGCCCGAAGCTCACTCTGTACACCAGGCTGGTCTGGGATACACCTGTCTCTGCCTCCCAAGTGCACCACGGTGCCCAGTTTTGGGAATTTGTTAGTTGTGCGTGGTGCTGAGACCCGAACCCAAGGCTTTGTACATGCTGGACCACTGTGGAGCCACACCCCAGCCATTTGTCTTCAGATACCTGTTTGACCTGTGTTCCTGCCCGGTCTTCACCTGTGTGTCAGTTCACGCACCCAGCCCGGTCTTCACCTGTGTGTCAGTTCAGGCACCCGGCCCGGTCTTCATCTGTGTGTCAGTTCACGCACCCCACCCGGTCTTCACCTGTGTGTCAGTTCACGCCCACTCAAGCGCAGTCGGTTTCTCTCGTGTGTTTCTGTATCCTATTGAGTTGTCACTGCCGCCCCTGCTTCTGTGTGCCGCCACGGATGTCCCACTGTCTCTTGACCTTCTGGTTCCCCTTCCCTGAGCGCCAGACAAGAGGCTGAAACAGTCCCGGGGCCGCTGTCCTGTGTACCACCCCCCATCATGTCTGTTTCCTAGATCTTGTCCAGTTTCTGGATGGGTTTGACAGGCACCCTGAGTCTGTCTCTGTGTCCTGGCACACGGACACTACACAGATGTCCACCACGTAGGCTGTCTTGCTGGGGATAGTCCACGGGGCCCCTGGAGAGCACCTGCCATGTCCCTTCGTTTATCTCGCCAGCCTGTTTCCTCGGGCGGTCATCAGGTCTTCATATCTCAGCAACAGGCCATGCAGAATGAACTTGTCTACTGTGTGGGGAAACTGAGGTCTAGAGAATAAAAGGTCATCTGAGTCGGCAGAGCTGAGCCAGCAGAACTAGACTTCCTCGCCGGGATCTTCCCGTGGTCCTGAGCAGCAGAGCAGGGAAGGCGGCTAACACGTCTGCATCGCTCCCAGGGCCTCTGCTATCCGTGCGTCATGGCCTCCCGTTGCATGCTTGTAAATAAACAGTCAGATGAGTACATGCCAACTTCTTTAGTGCTTAATTCACGTGGCTTTTGCCTGTGCATGCGACTGGGTGTCTGTCAGCGTGCGTGCGTGCGTGCGTGCGTGCGTGCGTGTGTGCGTGTGTGTTGACATAGGAATGAGACTGGCCCCTTGACTGGCTCATATACTCAGAGTCTGTCATTCAGTCCTTTCTGTTTGTTTGAATTTTCATTAACCCCCGATAGAGAGGGTCTCTGGTCCTGATGCAGGTCAGTGGATCCCTGCAGCCACCTATACTCCATGTCCTGCGCACACGCACACCAGAGCTGCTGCCTTCCTCACCCCTCCCTTTCTGCAGCTGGGCTGCTCGCTGTCACCCTCTCCCCAGGGTCCTGGCCCTAGCTGAAGTAGGCAACAGAGTGGCAAGTGACAGCAACTAGAAGCGATGGCCTTGCTGTCTGTCATCCCCGCCAGGAGCCACCACTTCCCACTTCAGTGGCACCCATGGGTCCTAAGGAGGGCTCGCCTTGCTCTCCTCAGCTGGCAAGCAAGGACTAGCCTCTCAGATCTCAGGGTCTGACCTGCCTTTGATTGACATGTGCCTGAAGAGAAAACAGCATCCTGTTTCTCATCTCTCATTCTCAGAAAAGCCTCGCAACCCTGCCCTTCCACATAGACAGACATGACAGGCAGGGACCCTGCCCTTCCAGCATAGACA